GCCAAATTATAAATTAGGTTACATTTGGGATCGATATTATTATTGCTCACATAACTAGGTATGTTAAAATCTCCCAAAATAATTAAATTGCTATCAAACAAATCATTTACAGTCAGTATGCAGTCCACAAATTCCTCCAAATCAGCTGCACTGATGTGTGGTGGGATATACACAAGTATTAAATAAACGACAAAAGAATTAAAGTTTATTTTACAACCCACAACATCCACAGCAGAGGCACTGCTATTTAAAAACGTAAGATCGAGTCTCTGAGAAGTCCAGCGGCGATTTACGGCCAGCACGACCCCTCCACCTCTAGAGAGTCCCGTAGCTCGAAAATCACGATCTGACCGAAACACGGAGTAAACAATGGGAAACAGTTCAGCATCGAACACTTCTGGCTTCAGCCACGATTCAGTCACTGCAATGATGTCCATATCACAAGATGATACGCCATTAAGAAATACGTGCGTTTTGGTGTTAAGGCCACGCACATTCTGATAATAGCAAGATATATAAGTGGATTGCACTGTTGGAACACTCAGTTTTTTGAGAGTATCCTAGGTCTACCCTTGGAATACCCTATAACTAGGTTCGCTTCGCCATTTGCTCGGCGACGTCTCAGTTCATCCTGTAGGGATTTCAGCTCGGCTCTTTGTGAGATTGTTTGGTCAGCCTCAATGTAAATGTGATGGTCTTTAATTATTTTTCCTCTGTTTTTCAAGACGTTATGAACGGACTGTCTGTCCTGAAGAATGACTTTCATTGCTTGACGACCGTTTCGATTGGGTTTTCCGACTTTAATGACATTCAAAACGCTTATAGTTTGGGTACATGCCTCACTGAGAACTCCTGAAAGAGATGTGTCATCATCACCAACATTGAGGCTGCAGTTGAAAATCATAATATTATTAGCGCGTTCCTGCCTCTCAGCCACCTCCGATAATATTTCTTCATTAGCAGAGTATGGAGTGGCAGAGTTAACCACCTTTGAATCGCTGTTTACTGTGTTAGCGCTCTGCTCCAATCTTGTGAGTCTCTCATCAAGCTTTATTATTTTTTCAATGGTATCACTATTTCCCTGTTCAGTCTGACTACAAGAACTCTCCACAACTACAACCCTACTTTCCAACAGTTCAAATTGCTCTTTAGTCTTCAAATGACGATCATTAATCAACGTCTCGAGCTGTGTTAGGCGCTTGATAATAGTAGGAATGTTGAACATATTTTCTCTGCATGCGGGGCACATAAATGGCATAGTTCTGTTTACCATTGATACCACTCTGACTTCTGAGGCAGAGAGGTTACCGCAGGTTTTACATATTATTCGCTTGCACAAGTCGCAAGGATAACCGAAGAGCTCATTTTTTATTTCTTTGAAGACGCAATGGTTTTTGCACTTAAAACATTCTCCGCCACTGCTCATGATGACAAATTAAATTATGGGAGTAAGTTATAATGTATTCACTATATGCGAAAACTCTCTTTGCCGAAATCTTTTATCAAAACACAAATAAGCTTCTATTGTTAATAGTCCAAGCAATGAAGGAAGTTTACTTCAACATAATTAGAAGTTAACAATTTTTGGGGGGGATCGGTCAATTTTCATGTGCCTAATAACATATTAAGTTTGCGACCTTGTACTTCCATAGGGTTTTCAGTTAGGGGTGGTTTTTAGGGGTAATTTGCAGTTTATGGAGAACGCTGCTCAAAAGGATGGTCCAATAGCAAAAAGTTTCAAATTAATGTTGTAGCTGAAGCTTTTTGCTATAAAAAACTCAGCGATAGCACCCCTCTAACTTCTATAGCTTTTTTTTCTGCAGCGTCTTGAATAGTAGCATGTTTTTGTTCAAGGTCACTGAATCAACGTTTTGCTATTTTGCGCGCATTTGTTGCAGCAGCGGCCGACTGCATAATCCGATTTCAATTTTTCAAACACCACATTATTGCTAATGAAATGCACTCTCCAATGCTTTTTTGTTCGAATTTTTTGCTTGAAAATTAAGCGATCACGGACTTGTCTAATGTGCGAAGAAGTTGTAAATTGCATCGAAAACTACCCCTTTCTTGCATTCACGCTAATTTCTAAACGGGGCCAAATATTTGGTGACAGTTTTCGACAATCGGCAGCCCATTTATTCCTCTCATAATGCCCCAGCGGATTTTTTTTTTCGTTAATCACTTAATGACTTATTGGCCTGAAAACGTCGCGCGGGATTTTTCAAAAAGTAAAAAAAAATTAAAATTGTCGCATAGCGCTGAAATTTGGTACGATGGCTTTATTTATTGTTCTCATGAATATACTGCAATTTTATATCATGTGAAGCAATTTAAATTGCAGTATATTCGTAAGAACAAGAAATAAGGCCATCGTACCAAATTTCAGCGCTATGCGACAATTTTATTTTTTTTTTACTTTTTGAAAAATCCCGCGCGACATTTTCAGGCCAATAAGTCATTAAGTAATTAACGAAAAAAAAAATCCGCTGGGGCATTATGAGAGGAATAAATGGGCTGCCGATTGTCGAAAACTGTCACCAAATATTTGGCCCCGTTTAGAAATTAGAGTGAATGCAAGAAAGGGGTAGTTTTCTATGCAATTTACAACTTCCTCGCACATTAGACAAGTCCGTGCTCTCGTAATTTTCAAGCAAAAAATTCGAACAAAAAAGCATTGGAGAGTGCATTTAATTAGCAATAATGTGGTGTTTGAAAAATTGAAATCGGATTATGAATTCGGCCGCTGCTGCAAGAAATGCGCGCAAAATGGCAAAATGTTGATTCAGTGCCCTTAAACAAAAACATGCTACTATTCAAGACGCTGCAGAAAAAAAACTATAGAAGATAGAGGGGTGCTGTCGCTGAGTTTTTTTATAGCAAAAAACTTCAGCTACAACATTCATTTGAAACTTTTTACTATTGAACCATCCCTTTGAGCAGCGTTCTCCATAAACCGCAAATTACCCCTAAAAACCACCCCTAACTGAAAACCCTATGGAACTACAAGGTCGCAAACTTAATATGTTGTTTAGCATATTGAAATGGACCGATCCCCCCAAAAAAATTTCAACTTCTAATTATGTTGAGGTAACCCCTCTTTTCAGATCTCCGTTTCTTGGACTATAAGACATGAAGGCAAAAAAAAGAGAGGATAGAAATGTTTATGTTAAAAAATTTTATGGCTGGCGAGCACAGAAATTTATCGCACAATAATAATAACTATTGATCCAAAGTTTTTTACAAAATATTCTTACGTGGCTGCAGACACAAAAGCACAATCCAAATTATTCGGTAGGCACAAAAATTTCCTTTGCACAGATATAAAATACTAATTTTATCAATAGGATAGAACCACCTAATCTTCAAAAAAACTGAGAGCACATTTGCACGATGTTTACTCGATCGATACTTGAAAGTAGGAATTTTAACCAAATAGGTGGTTAACTAAATAAACTTTTAACTTACCTGCAAATATCCGAAAGGAAAACGACAAAGAGAACCACGGACTCCACCGAGCACATACAACTTCCAACAGTTAACAGTTCCAACCCAACTCCAATTTTGTGCGCAACTACGCCTAAAGCAGGACGCGCACTGAATCGACTCGGACCGGTCGACTCGGAATAGAGCGATCGGAATATCAACTCAGCCGCGCACTGAATTCGCATTGCCGGCAGTCGTACGCCAGTTTTCGATTATAGAGGAGCGAGAAAAGATAAAAATGACAGATTCTTCAGATTCTGACGAAGACTTGATGATAGCACTAGCGTGTCATGAAATTGAAAATGAAATGCAGAGGCCAAGATTCTGGGTGCATGATATAAATTTAAAAAGGGAAGTATACGGAGAATTTTACCATTTATTCCCCGACTTGCTTAAAGGTGAGGAAAAGTTTTTTAAATATTTTCGAATGTCTAGTGGGAAGTTTTATGAGCTTTTGAAAATCCTACCGCTCCAGTAGCAGGATACAAACTTCAGAAAAGCCATCTCACCTGAAGAGCGGTTAGCAGTCACACTCAAGTAAGTACATAATATACATATATTATAATATAAACTTACGGCAAAACAAAACATTAAAAATAGGGATTAGTGATGGGCAAAGGAAATATTCCCAATTTGGAAATTTTCCAAAATGGGAATTTTCTCGGGAATATTCCTCCAAGGTTAAATAAATTTCCGTTACAGGGAATTTATTTTTTATGTGAGAATATTCACGCTAATGGCGCTGGAATGTTTATTTTAACTTTGTGTGGAGTCTGGATATTAAAACCGCGCTATTTGGAGGGTGTAAACAACAAACGACAAGAAATTGAGAGCTTGATTGGTGATTATTCTGGATCTGAACAAAATGACGTCAATGACGATAACCTCGACGATAACATTCATGTACAGGGTTTGTTGCTTATAATTAGTGCGGCTTCTACAACTTAAGAAAAAAAAGTTGAATACAAAAGTTGTAGGGTTTTATCTCTAATATCTTTTGCATACTTGCATTTTTTAAATGGAACACCCTGTATCTTTTTGGCTAAAATGATTTTTTGTTTTCTTCTGATTCCGTATATACCTACCATATGTTGATATTTGGTTCAGCTGCTTTTGCGTTATCCAAGCTTAAAATTGCATTAAATAACCCTCACCATTGATATAAGGAACCAAGAAGTGACCTAAATTAAGGTTATGCAAATTTTTTTAATTGTTTTCAGCTTTAGAATAGATAAAGCTGTTGACTTATCAACAAATAGTTGTTTTATTGCACATTTCACAATTACTCTGAAACTCTACTCATATAAATAGGGGTTTTCACTTAAAGCAGAAAATTCCCCGAAAATTCCCATTTTGGAAACATTCTTGGGAATATTTCTTGGAAATATTCCCAAAAAAATAAATTCCTGGAAATTTACCAATAGGGATTTATTTTCTTGACAGAAGCACTAGTATAAACTTAGGAAAACTTATAATAATATTGTAAACTTAAGAAAACTGAATAATCACCAAAAAAATTATAGTTCCTGATAATTTTTGCAATTAATATCTGAATTATTGGCTTTTTCTTTTTCCTGCGTGAACCTTGAAGGTAACCTTGAATTTGCGAAATATAAGCGTGGAGCAGCAATTGAATTTAACCCAGGTACATTCGTCTGATCTTGCCACTGGATTGTATAATTTTCATTTCTGGAACTTGACTGATCTTGCACCTGGAATGAGTTACTATTTTCAGATACTTCAATTACAATAGGAGAACGTGAAAAAGGCGACTGATTAGAAGATGAATATGGCGGATCACTCATCTGAACTTGCCACTGTATTGGATAAGTTTCTGATCCCGGACTAAGCAGAGGAGAACCAGCTGATTCTGATCTAGTGGATGAATGCCGGACTCCATTTGGGGGCATATTGGGAAGTTCCTTACTCATAAGGTCCTTTAGTTCATATTCTGAAACCATGTTCGATATTTTGGATTTAATTTCGATCTGAAGGCGTGGTGAAAATGTCCTAACTGTTTCTTGCATGGCATCAAAAATTTTTTGTAAATGATCCCTCTGTTTGCTTACTGTTGAGGCTTGCTTTTCTTCAAAATAATTGGTTAACACTTTCGTCATTGGGGTAGACTGTTGCTGTCGATTAAATTTTGAGGCATATTCTCGGGAATTCGGGGTACCTTGTGAATGAATAGTATTATTGTTGGCGGAGGGGGGTCGACGGAAGTCATTCATCGCATTGTCATTGTCATTCGTGATATCAGCATCAACTTCATCATCAGAAATATTCAAACGTTGTTCACGAGGTTGTTCTTGTACTTCGCTTTCTTCAAGATTTGATTTTTGTGTCCTTTCTGCATAAAAAGGGATCATGAAAGACATTATGTCTTCATATTTCCACTTTTTTGTTGGTATATTTGCTTGACCACTCGTAGTTTTTCTGGCTTTTAGACATTTTCGAAAATTGTCGCGAAGAGCTGTCCATCTCTTTTTGCAATCTGAAACTGAAAATAATGTGTTAATAAGAACCTATTTATTATTAGTACACATCATAGTACATATTATGTAGTTTAGAAAGATATATTTACATCAAACTGCTTATTAATACACTAATCTATTATGGTAAAAAGTCGTATATTTCTTCCAGGTTTCTTGGCTATGGTGATTCCTTCTCTTCAATAAGCTTCAGCTACAGATTGGGAGAGACAACAGTAAGGGAAATTGTTTACGATACGTGTCAACAAATATGGGATACACTCAGACCTTTGGTAATGCCTACTCCGACTTTAGAACAATGGCAAAAAATAGAGGAAGGCTTTCGTCAAAAATGGCATTATCCGAATTGTGTAGGGGCCATTGACGGTAAACACGTGGTGTTTGAAAAACCTCCAAATACAGGATCCCAATATTACAATTATAAAAAGGAGTTCAGTATTGTATTACTTGCATTAGTGGATGCAGACTATAGATTTATAACCGTCGATGTTGGAGGGTATGGTCGTAACAGTGACGGAGGAATTTTCCGTTCATCTCAACTTGGAAAAAAAACTACTCGCAAACCAGTTATATCTTCCCGAACCGAAGCCATTGCCTCAAACAAATATTGTTTTGCTGCATGTAATTGTTGGAGACGAGGCATTCCCTTTAATGCCGAATATGATGAGGCCCTATCCAGGTGCCCAAACTGGCAATAATCAAGCAAACCTAATTTATAATTATCGTCACTGCAGAGCCAGACGAGTGAGCGAAAACTCATTCGGAATTATGACAAAAAAATTTAGGATTTTTTTGAAAAAATTTAACATTTCGCCGGATCATCTCGACACAATTATTTTAGCTTGCACTGCACTGCATAACTATTTGAGGAACGATTCCTGTGCGTGGCAACCAGGGGAACTAGAACGTGAGGATGAGCTTGAAGGTCTTAATGATTTGCAGACTATTGGAGGAAATTTCCAGCGAGATGCTTATAATATAAGAGAGCAGTTCAAACAATTCTTTGTTTCTAATCAAGGAAGTGTACCATGGCAACTTGAGAGAATTAATGCTGCAATATTACCTAACTATGAAGCTTGAATTACACCGATTACATTTGCACCTGTACATACAGGGTCATTCATCGAGGATTGAACAGGACCCTAATTTGTACTATATTTAAATATTTCAAGAGTAGGTACCTACTTAGTTTTGAATTTGTTTGAAAAAATACCCAACGTAGCTATCTAAGATTTTTGAAAATATGCCTCAGTCCTACATGAATGACCCTGTACGTATCAAAAAATATGTAGAAATAGGCAGGGCCGCAGCTAGGGGGTGGCGAACTAGGCGCCCGCCTAGGGCGCCGGAGTATTGGGGCGCCGAAGGCGCCTAATTTAATGCATTCATATTTTACAATTCAAAAAAATGCAACGGTTTGACGCGTCATTTGTCGTAGCACGGAATAGTTATTTACCTACGAACGTGAGGTAAAGTGTACTTTACCGCACGAATTTGCAAATGGAAAGTATCACTTTACCGCACACTATGCGGTAAAGTGCACTTTACCGCATAGTGTGCGGTAAAGTAGAATTTGATATTTATAATCAAAAATCCTCTCTTTTTCAGAAAATGGATTTTTGATCATTTTCGAGATCATTTCTAAATCTTATCTAATTTCATTAATTAATCTGATTCATTAATTAATTTTATCAATGCCTTTTTTGAAGATGTAGATCAGTGGTTCCCAAACTTTTTCTTTCGCGCCCCCTTTTTGAAATCAAGAAGTGGTCGCGCCCCCCTTCCTTTCCCCATTATACAAAAACATTTTTTTCTACTCACTGTAACTCGTCTGAACTGGACTTTGGAAGAGGAGGACTGGGCATGACAGTGGGCAGCGAGCGTACGCTGTAGCAATGATCGTATGACAAAGCTGCTTTGGCTAAGGTATGCGCTGTTGCCGGATTGTAGACATCTTTTTTGAAATTTTAACTGATTATTAATAGTAGATTATACCACGAGTCAATAATGATAGCTATTATTTCCGAGGAATATTTACGAACTGAGTCGCGTTATCGGCGAGGGAGTAACATTCCGAGGGAATAATAGCCATTATTACGAGTAGTATACTCTACTTTATTCACGACAAATTAATTTATTTAAAATTTTCTTTCCAAAAACGCTCTTTGTTCATCCATCTCAATACAAATACACAAGCACTACGCGTTTGACACTGACACTTTTGAGTTTGTTCAGGTATATTGTTTCCATGGTACTACTTATTTAATTTGAGAAATTTTGTGATTGATGTGCAAGCGGGAATAATGCATGTCATTGTCATTAATTATACTGCCAAAATCACATATGTAATACTTACATTATATGTCAGTCGTAAATAAAATTGTATTAATTTTTTAGAAGACTCACGCCCCCCTTAATGTTGCTTCACGCCCCCCAGTTTGGGAACCACTGATGTAGATGCTCATAAGTAAAATTTTGTACCTAACACATACGGAAAGTGCCCTTACCGCACCTATTTGCAAAACGAAAGTGGCACTTTACCGCACACTATGCGGTAAAGTTATTTTCCCGCATAGTGTGCGGTAAAGTTAACTTTACAGCATAGTATGCGGTAAAGTGGACTGCAAAGTGTGCGGTAAAGTTAACTTTACCGCATAGTATGCGGTAAAGTAGACCTTGGTATTTATGATTAAAAATCCTTTCTTTTTAAGAAAATGGATTTTTGATCATTTCTTAATCTAATCTAATTTCATTAATTAATCTGATCAATTATTTAATTTTATTAATAGGGTACTTGCATGAAAAATTAAATTGATTATTGTTTATTGCAAACTGTAGGAAATCGAAAAAAAATCGATACGTGTTTTTTTATTTTGTCCAAATATGAATATTCGGAAAGTTATTCAAAGATTAAGTTTTGTATATATAGATATACTCAACATGGAGTGACGTCATAGGATACCAAAAATAAGCACATTTCAAAGCGTTGTATCTCCGTCAATTTTTGTCTAACAAGAAAAAGAAAAAACACGTGTTGACTTATTTTTCATGGACTATCGAAATCAGCAATAAAAAAATTTGATGCAAGGGGCCTATTCCTTTTTTTGGAGATGTAGATGCTCATAGGTAAAATTTTGTACCTAACACATGCGGAAAGTGCCTATACCGCACTTAACGACTTTGCGTGCGGTAAAGCATCACTTTCCGCATTTGTTAGGTAAATAACTATTGCTTGTGTTACATCTCTCTTTGTCAGCCATCAAAAATACGAATATCGATAGTAATCTTATGAATTATGTCAAACACAGTGCGCGTGCAAAAGGCAGCAGCAAATTACAATTTCTGTGATAAATTCAAGTATTGATGACGTAGCGCCCAACATTCGTTAGCCAGAGATTAGCTTCGAGTCGATCTTTGATCCGATCAAACTGAGCAAGAGCACTGTAGGTAGGGTTGCCAGATACTTGAATTTTGAAAATAGGAGATCCTGTATAAAATTATATGAGATTGGATAATAATATATGAGAATATTTTATGTACTGCAAAATTCCTAAATCCGAAAAAGCTCCCATCTTGACAATTAGCTATCATTTTAGCAGATTTTGAAATGTATTGCTGGACGACATTTTTTTAGGTATTGTCTGGCTAGCGAAACGGCGAACTCAAATAGAATTTGCTGCTTTGCCAAACTTGACGGAAACAGTAATAAACAAGTTGGTGACATATTTTATTTTGCTATATGGGCATGTGTAGTATTTTGAAATAGAAAAAAATTCGGCAACATTGCGAAATGTTGGTTAGAGCTTGAACGACAGCACAGTAACGTGGTTATTGGCGAAACTTTAAAAAAAATTCTAATAATTTTATTGGTTCATTTCCTTGGTGTTTTCGGTGCCACTGAATTCAAAGACATAGCTGTCATCAAGCGGTGTCAGTGAATATTCTTAGGTAACGCCCCACTTTTCTTCCCCCTTTCGTCTCTATCAACTTACCACTTGCCAGACTATAGTTAGATACTCCTCCTGATCCGTCACGTCAGTCTCATTTGTTGTAACAAGTTTGGGACAACAAAAGAGTCTGGAAAGCAGACAGACAAAGCTACGAAGGATGCCGAACGATATTCCGCGTGAGGCTAAATTCATCAGAATGTTGCACCTATATTAATGGGTTCCAAAATGGCTTTGTTTTTTTTTACTTTTATTTTTATTTATTATCTATAGAAGCGGCAACATTAATTCGACGCCATGTTTGAATTTGAATATTCCCATTATCGACCAGTGTAAGCTTAAAACACAAATCTCGACACAAATTAAGAATTGGTTTATTGTTTTATTTACTTTACATTAATTCGACGCCATGTTTGAATTTGAATATTCCCATTATCGACCAGTGTAAGCTTAAAACACAAATCTCGACACAAATTAAGAATTGGTTTATTGTTTTATTTACTTTTTGATGAAAATATATGAGAAATAGTCTCATATTAAACATGCCAATATGAGATATGAGAAACAGTTAAAATATATGAGTCTCATATTAAAAATAGGAGGTCTGGCAACCCTAACTGTAGGCGACATGGGCGCCCTCTGCATACTGCATACATTATCTCTTTTGATTCTTTTCTATTTAGGGCCGAATTTATAGTCGCTCCTTGAGATTTCCTCAGACCTTAAGGAAGCCTCGAACGTTTAGAATTAACATGACTAACTTGTCAGATAGTAGCAAGTGTCCATTCTAAACTCTCGACCTCCAAGGAAGAGTCAAGTAACCACTATAAATTCGGCCCTTAGCCGTTTACGGAAACTGTAATCGGGTCGGTGAAGGTTTTCTATCTTTCCTTAATGAATACGATTGAAAAAAGGCAAAATACGTCTGCTGCCGGTCGGGTTAACCCGATCATAGTTTCCGTAAACAGCTTTTACATTTGCAATAGCTTCGTTCGCGGTAAGGATTCTGAATTGGTTCGAAACTATTTCGCATGCGCAGTTCAAGTAATGGCGTT